AAGCATAAACCTCACAATGCGTTATGCTTAAAACAAGAAAAATCTACTTCCCAATGATGTGAGATGAAAACTTAATTAATCTTAAAGGGGTCATATGATGCGATTTCAATTTTTCCTTTCTCTTTGGAGTGTTACAAGCTCTTGGTGCATAAAGAAGATCTGTAAAGTTGCAAAGACTAAAGTCTCAAATCCAAAGAGATATTCTTTATAAAAGTTCAGAGTCAACCACGCCTACCTAAAACGGCTCGTTCTAACACGCCCCCACATGTCTACCTCACTATGTGGGAAGATTTGCATAACGCCGCCCAAATGTTCACGCAAAGAAAGAAGGCGTAACTTTTAGTCTCACTGTAGTTTTGTTTTTTTTACTGCAAAACAAGACAAACATAATGATCAAGAGCATTTATTTTACAGTATCAGACAACCTCTAAGGGACAAAAGCTACTAGATAGGCTACTGAATGAACTACTAGCGTAAGCTGGTGTACAAGACTAGACATACAATTTAAAATGTTTTCACACAATCACACGCACACATAACACACATATATACATTAAAGCAAACATGCCACGACAAGCGAGTTTCACAGGAAAAACTAGTCAAGGCTTCAAAATGTTCTTGAAAGCATTTTCAAAAGCAAGAAAAATAACCTTTAATCCCTAAAAAAAATAAATCATACATTTACAGTCTTGAAATAATAGCCATGAACTCCAAAAGGTCAATGCAGCAGTACTTTCTAAACGAGTCTGCATAAAAAGAAAAAGAAAAAAAGGGAAGTGGTTAAATGGACAGAGAAAAAGCACAAAAGTTCTTCCCCTGCCCACGTTTCCGACCACCTGGCTACTGTTTCCCTCCCAAACCATACTTCACTGTCAGAGCGGTTTTGAGTGAAGACACAAGACAAAGCACAGGAGCTTCACTCCAAACAGCCCTGTCAAGAAAAAGAGGAGGAGAACAAGAGGGATAGACAAAGATCGAGGGAGAATAAAGCCAGCAATGGCAAGCAGCCGAACAGCAGGAGAGAGATGATTCCAGAACCGATGAAGGATCTGTCAAACAGACGCTAATGCAACACAGCAACAAATCTTTCTTTAACACCTTCAGCATTGGCAGCATCATGCGGTTTTATCATGCTTTAACTGACTGACAGCGGTGTAGTCGACTGATTGAGATTTCCTGTAACAGATGACAGTTTGGATGAAATATCAACCAGTATCCTCTACAGCCAAACTGGATTCCCTTTTCAAGATTAGATCAAATTCAGTCAGAGAGTTAACTAAGTGTCTGCAGATGAAGTGCTGATTCAGTCGATCACACGCTTTCAGAAACAGAAATAACTCTAAACGGTGCCGATTATGATCAGAGATCTCATTTTAGATAACTCCATGTTAATTTCTCATGATTGGCCGGGACCAATAAGCCACATGGCGCTTGCTTCGCCTTGTGGAGCGAGATGAAGGACAAAACTATTAGGACAGACAAGGCATGACATGGATTTAATAACTTGAGCAAAATTGCTGATGCTTTGAAGTCTTCAGTTTGCCCTTCAGCCATAACCATTCCATTCATTTTCACAATCAGCACATTTTGTTTTCACAGCAAAACAAGTATCACCAGGTGCACTTTGAAGTGCAAAAATATGGGGGAAATAACCACGCATCTGTCTTTGCATCTGAAATAAAATCTTCAACAGAAATGAGAACTACATCATAAATCCATCCTGGGAGCTACTCAATAACATCTATCAGCTAACCCAAATCCACTTTACATGAGGCAAGCTCCTGTCTGGACACAGATGCACTGCTTCTTCTCAAAGCCCATGAATAATTCTCTATTCATTTAATACATCATTCAATACAGACGTGGTCTCTGGACTGGTCAAGGTGCAGAGGTACAACCTGCTCAAGTCTCTTAGATATATTTAAAGGACTAGTTCACCCCAAAAATGACAATTTGCAGAAAATGTACTCACCCTCAGGCCATCCAAGATGTGTATGAGTTTGTTTCTTCATCAGATTTGTAGAAATGTAGCATTGCATCCAGCTGATAAAAAACATCACAATAATCCACAAGTAATCCACACCACTCCAGTCCATCAGTTACTATCTTGTGAAGCCAAAAGCTGCATGTTTGTAAAAAATAAATCAATTTTTAACTTCAAACCATTGCTTCCGGCTATACGAGTCCTTCGCAAGACATTAACTGATGGACTGGAGTCTTGTGGAATATTGTGATGTTTTTATCAGCTGTTTGGACTCTCATTCTGACGGCACCCATTCACTGCAGGGCATCCATTGGTGAGCAAGTGCTGAATTTCTCCAAATTTGTTCCAATGAAGAAACAAACTCATTTTATTTATTATCTTGGATAGCCTGAGGGTATCCCCGAGGGTGTTGGGTGCACTATTCCTTTAAAAGCAAAGGAGCCGATGCTTTCAATTCATGCAATATATAGTAAAAAGCAACAAATGAAAGGGTTTTCTGAGGACAGCAATAATGCATTTCTCTCTATTAATGAAAACCCACAGATGCCATGCTGTTCTTCAAATGCCTCACACCTTCATTTAAGCTGTAAAGCATTTCATCATTCACATTTTTTTATCTGCATGTCTTATCACACATAGACATGAGCAACACAATGCCTTTTACTCATCAAATATCAATAACTGATTTGCAGAAAAGGAGAACTGAAAGGCCTAACAAATGCACTGACTCTTATGACGCCCTAAAACACCTAAACAGAGCAGAAGAATACATGGACTTAATAATTCAATTGCAAATGCAATTAATCAAACTCACAAATTGAGAGCAAAGAGTGCAAATTGTCACTGTGACTAATTGCTGTTGAATGATTTTCATTATATTGTATATGAAAACACAAGGAACATGAGCCATCAAGTCATTTCAACACATTCAAACTTCTGGGTGGATGGACATGTTACTACACGCCTTATTAATTATTACAGCACTAATTAGCCATAAAACTGTCAAAATTAGTCACAAAATGGTAGGAAAAAAAACTTGTAAAGAGGTATAAGTCACCCATTATTATGAAAATGTTCTGGAAAGCAGCTTTAAATACATTGCTAATGCATAGACGGCAGTGCTTGCGCATCGCCCAGATAGACTAACCTGTCATTTGAATCAAAGGCTATAATTAAACAAAAAAAATTAAAAGAGAGCGTAGGGGATTTGCTTCTTAGACTTGAAACACAACACAGATTACAGCTTATGCGACGACCTAGAGCACTCCAATTATAATCAATGCAAGCGGCTTGTGCATTTCAGTCAAGTCAGCTTCATTGACTATAGGGTATTTTTTTTTCAATTAGAGGCACTTTTAACTACCTGAATCTAGCAAAACAAATCATTTTAAAACTATTAACCTTCAAGTTAATATTAGTAGAGTGTGTGATGGTAACAAATTTGTTTCAGATTTTACAGATTTTCACAAGTAAGCAAGCAGTCAATTATCTTTAAACTTATAATAGCAATAACAAAAGAAATAGATTGGTAATAGGGTTTGATAATAACACCTATTCTATATCTAATTTTCTCATTCTAAAATGCCACACACTTTGATTGGTCGACTGGTTGTTGTTGTTGTCATGATTCCCTCCACAAACCTGGAAAACATGCTGCACTTGCCTGCTGTTTATCTGGCAAGACCTTTGCTTTATGTGGTTGTTGCTAAACATTAAAATAAACATTTTTGGGGGGTTGCATAGAGACAATATGCAGTTCATTGTGCCTAACTCCTGATGTTTGTCTGATGCTGCAGATGGATTTATGACACAATTAAAAGTCTCAAGTTCACCTCAAAGAAAGGTATACCTGAAAGACAAAATTGTATTGGATTTGTGGTTTCTAAGGAAAAATAATGTGTTGATGAGCTTTCAGCTACTGTATATCATATGAAAAGAACATAACTTGCCTATAAAGCACAAGCAGATTTAGAAAAACTAAAAGACATCCAGTACAGAACATAAATGGCAGATAATTAAATCTGTCAGTAAGAGATACCTAGAGGCTTTTTTTTTCATCCCAAGAGCAGTTGAATTAGTCAATGACACAAAGAGATCCCTTACAGATATTTACAATGGTTTCTGCCAAAACAGCATTGTTACTGTGGTTCTTGCTAGTAAAATAAAACTGTGTGTTAACTTGTGGTTATCAGTCACCATTCTGTCATCAAATAAGATATTGAAAGCTTATTATTCTGTTTGAATGAGATCCTCTATTAGGATTTTGCAGTAACAACAATCACTGTTGTAACTGGTATTTTGGTGGAAACTATGCTACCATGGTAAAGTTTTCTAAGGATATCATACCTTTCTTGAAAACTGAAAAATACTGAAGTGGTAAGTATCTGTGTGGTATATTTTCATTCTTTAGCTAGGTATATTCTCAAGATATAGATAGATAGATATAATTCAATTAATTACAAAATGTATATATTAAGTATTATATATATATATCTTGAGAATATACCTTGTTAAAGAATGATAACTACAATGCATTTTAAGATATATTATAAGGATGATGATGATATATTTTAAGTTTTAAATAACAAGCATAAGATTTATCCATGTGTTTCTCAAAAAAAAAAAAAAAAACGGGAAAAAAAAAGAGGTCATATTCTCATCATCACACCTTATACTAAAATCCACTTGAATATCCGGATAAGTAATGCATTTAAGAAATGCAGATAAAACATAGTTTGAATAAGTTTCCTTTTTCAAGACTTCAAAAGTGACTTCAAAGAATCATCAACTGCAAAACAGGGTTCAAAGAGGGCTTAGGTCATTATTTAGCGCGTAATGCATTGCGTGTGATTCATAAAGCTGAACCAGAGGCAAGACGAGGCGAGAAAAGTGACAACGCGCTGCTCATCTCCAGGCTGGAGTCGGGACAATGCACTAGTCTCAGAAACATCTCATAAAAGACTTACAGCCACCAGAACGCACACACAGTCACAGCTCAAAAGAGTTGAGAACTAACCCGTGTCGAACTGGTCTGAAGCTGACGCGCTGAGGCAGGCAGCAAGGAGCAAAGCTGCGATTCTCCGCGAATCCATCGCTCTTCTGTAGCAGGCTGTGAGAGATCTGAACACCTTCTCTTCCTCTCTCCTCGCAGTTGAAGTGTTTGAGTCCAGTCTGGTGCGGCGAGCAGATGAATTTCAGCAAATCTCGCTGCGCGTCTGCGTTAAGAGCGTCTCAACTTCTAGGCAGATCAGCGCTGCCCCCAGACACTCACGCACAAGACAGATAGCAGAAAAAGTAGGGATCCTATTTCAAATCATGTGACAGGAAATCGGGGCAATAGATTCAACCTGCCCCGTGCATGGGGGCATATTACCTGTTGCGCGCTGTGGGCTGGCCACAAATCCAATAGCTGTGAGCCACAGAGAGTTAAGAAAATAACCCCGAAGACTTTTAAAGCGCCGTTGTTTCCACTAACAAATATGTGACTTTCTGTAGACTGTAAGTAGACAGACAGACAGACGATAGATAGATAGATAGATAGATAGATAGATAGATAGATAGATAGATAACAGACAGGGAGATAGACAGACAGACAGACAGAGAGACAGACGATAGATAGATAGATCGATAGATAGATAGATAGATAGACAGACAGACAGACAGACAGACAGATCAATAGATAGACAGACAGACAGACAGACAGACAGACGATAGATAGATAGATAGATAGACAGACAGACAGACAGAC